CGATCAGGAATGGTAACATGGACTATGCCATAGCAAGGCATTACAAAGAGAGGGCTCACGGCTCAGCGGCATCCCTCAAATTTGTGGGCCTTGAAAAAATCTCTCCCTCTCCAAGAGGGGGAGATATTACTAAAAAACTATTACAGAGAGAGTCCTTTTGGATTTTCACTCTCAACAGTATGGAACCTCATGGACTTAATGAAACACTGGATCTAAGTTCATTCCTTTAGTGTTATTCCTTTAAATTAGAGGGTATCTCATTTTCAAGAAAAAAGTAAGTATTAATGTCTGCTCAAGTGCAACCTGTTTTTGAAAAATCAACAGTCTTACTAAACTGTACCATCAGCTCCATTGAGCGTTTTGAAAAAAGATATACCCACAAACCCATTTGGCGATATTTTGCATATAGTGAGATCTGTGCACAGATAAACCACTACTGTGTGTTCTCAAAGGTGTTCAACATCTTTTATCTTGTCTAGTCTGGTAGACGTCACCACATTATTTCACCTCTGGAGAATTTGGAAAGTTTCCTACTATGCGTATTAAACTTTCTGATAGAACTTTTGTTCTTGGCCATAAAAAACCCAGGAAAGCCACATGTAAATTGCTACTAACATAGTCTGGAGCAAACCTGGAACATTGTGAACATAAGGCTTACTAAAGCATCACTCTAGACAAAAGGTTTATTAAAGTTTTGGTGACTGAGTTACAATTTAGGGAGCCAACATATGATTGAGGGCCACTCAGGAAAAATGTGCACATCTCACTTCCACATTAAACTGCTGAGATGTCCATCAACATCCCTATCTATAGCTTTCATAATTCCCACTAGTTGCCATGCAACCAGAGGCTTTCTACAAGTTATCATTCCTAATCTGACAGATACTTGTTTGATACTTGTCCAAAGTTTGACTTTGTAGTCGAATAATGTGTTAAATGTAGGCGATTGAAAGTGACAGTACTGAAGTAGATTGGGGATGATTAAAATAAAATCATGTTCCAGGGCTCCAAAAAATGTTTCTGAGGGCTGCCATTGGCCTGCAGACTGCACTTCAATCAACAATGCTCTAAACCCTTAAGCCATCCCACATGATGCCACCAAGCCAGTCAAATCTCTGCATTCCAGGTAATTAACATTGCAATTCTGTACAGTCAGATGAGAGAGGTGAGAGATGAGTGACAAGTGGAAAGGCGATAAGAAAAATAGAAAGATAGAAATATAGAAGGATAGAATATAGAAAAAGAAAGAAAGTGATACAAGGAGAGAAGACGGAGAGGCGAGTGAGCGGGAGACAGGGAGAAACACAGAGGAAGAGGAAGTGAGCGAGAGACGGGGAGAGAAATAGAGGAAGCTTTCTCAGGTCTCAGGAAAGTAGCCCTGTACATCTTGCCATGTTTGGCTCCACATACAGGTGCGAGGCAGCTTTATCCACAATGAACATAATAAAAACTAAATATCGTTCCAGGCTCACCAATGAGCACCTGCACATATGTATGAGAATGGCCCTAACACCATTCCAGTCCAGATTTAAAATCCTGGCAGGACAAGCTCGAGCTCTGTTCTCTCACTGAACAACAAAACGTGGGCAGAGTGGGAAAAGAGGGAAAGAAAAGCAGTGGGAGTGACGTGGAGATTGTGGAGCAGTACAAGTACCTGGGTGTCCTACTGGACAATAAACTTGAATGGTCCACACACACAGAGGCAGTGTACAAGAAGGGCCTGAGTTGGCTGTATTTTTTGAGAAGGCTCAGGTCCTTTAATGTATGCAACAAGATGCTGCAAATGTTTTACCAGACTGTTGTAGCTAGCACTCTTTTCTTTGCCGTGGTGTGCTGGGGGGCGGGTGTTAAGAAACAGGATGCCAACAGGCTCAACAAGCTGGTTAAGAAGGCCCAGTCCGTTGTTGGCCTGAAGCTGAGCACTTTTGAGGAGGTGGTGAGGACAGAATCCAGGCCAAATTCAATAGGATCATATACAACACCACCCATCCTCTCCATAAAACACTGGACACACTCAAGAGCACATTCAGCACCAGATACAGACTCCCCCGCTGTTCAAAAGAGCGCTACAAAAAATCATTCATACCCACAGCAATACAACTGTACAACTCCTCCCTCCGATCAAACTCATATGCACTTTGAGCCATTCTTCCTTTTTTTT